TATTTACTACTTATCACAGTCCTTTCAGTGCAGTCTTTAGTGACTTAATTTGGTTTATCTTTTTAAAAACCAACTTTTTCAATTTCTACTCCAGCCTTTTGCTAACTTTAGGCTTAATTGTTTTTCAAGGTTCAGGCGTAAAATTTAAGTGGCTTATTTTGTCTTTTAGTGATAAATGTACACGTTACAAAGTGTTATTACAGAACTGCATTTTAATAGGTTTTGGTATGTTTCGACTTTTAGTGCTCAATTTACAATTTGTACAGCTCATAGTACAAAGAGCAGAACAAATACTCAGCATAAGTTTTTCATATGTATATCAAAACAGTCAGTTAGGCAGTATAGTATTTTAACTATAATCCCCATGTTGCACATTATTACACACTCATGATTTATACTGGAAATGTACCTTTTGAACACCTTTCCTACCCCCAGTCCTCCTGTGACCTTTAGCAACTGATTTATGAGCACTTTTAGATTTTATAAAATAGTGCAGTCGTAGTTTTTATCTTCATTTTAGCATAATGCTTTCATGGTACATCAGTTTTATTGCAAGTAGCAATATTTCATTTTTTATGACTAATACTTCATTTTGTCTGTATATGTGTGTGTCACAGGTTTTCTATTGGTGTACATTTAGGGTTTTCTCTATTTTTTTGCTATTGTATATAAGACATTGCACATAAAGGTGAAGATATTTTGAAAGTAGTGTTTTTGTTTTCTTCAAATTAATACTGAGAAGTGAAATTACTGGATCATACGGTAGGTTGTCATTTCTCAAGGAACCTTTATACTGTTTTCCATAGTGTTTCCTTTAGCCATAACTACTTGATTTTGACTTGCATTTCCATGATGATTACTAATGTTTAGCTTCTTACTAAGACAAGTTAAATACAATATACCCAACTTTAGACCCTTGAGCAAGGGGGAACTAGTAGATAAAAGGAAAAAAAAAAATAACTGTTCTCACCTAGTAAAAACATTTTTAACCAATAAATTGGACAACCTAGAAAAAATCTCTGGCAACACAGATTAGTACTAGTACAGAGATTCACTCAGTAATCAAATAACTGCATTGACTAATTGTGCCAAGCATTCAGAATTAATACCAATTATATTCTAACTTTTTCTAAAAAATGGAGGATGGGATATTTCTAAAGAGATGTTATCATGATAATATTACCCTGATATTCCAACTGGAGAATGATGCTATGGGAAAAATACTGTTTTATTGCTTATTAACATGGATGTCGAATATTAGCATACCTACAATACATTGAAAGTATCACTTACCAAGACCCAGCGTGATTTATTTGAGGGATGTAGCAATGGTTCAACATCACAAGTTTCTTGTGATGCAGTACATTAACAAAATCATTAAAATACAATCATTTGAGTTAATGCATAAATAAAAGCATTTGAAAGAAATCAGCATCCTTTCATAAGAAAAAATTGAATAACGAAGTTAACTATAGAGGAAGCACCCTCAAAATAATACAGACCTTATATAAAGCCCATGGCTAATATCCTTAACAGAATAGAGCTTTTCTTCTAATATCAGAAACAACGATACCTACTTTCAGACAACACCCTGAGATGACATCGAAGAAATAAATGAATTCAGTAAAGCTATAGGACATAGTCAGTATCCAAAAACTTTTTTTTTTTTTTTTATTCCTTTTTTGTGCCATTAGTTTAGGAGTTTGTTGTTTTCCTCCCACCTACTTGTAGATTTTATGGCTTTGTATTATATTCTAGCTTTATAATGTTATATATGGTTTCCCATCATGTCATCTATCCTAAAGAATTTGTATCCTGCTGTAGTGAATGGAATGTTCTACAGATAATGTTAGGCTCATTTGGTTTAATGTACTATTTAAAGGTATGTGTCTTCATTTTCAATTTCTGCCTGCTCTACACTTTATTGAAAATGGGGTTGAAGACCCTAATATTACTGTTATTATACATTTTTCTTCATTTGTGCTAGTAGGGTTTTTTATATTTAGGTACTCCCATGTTGGATGTGTGTACTTTTATGATTATAATACTCTGCCTTTATCACTACCCAATAACCATTGTCTTAACCATCATTGTCTTGTTTCTGTTTATGGCTAAAAAGTCTTCTTTGATATGACTTTTGTCTATTACTTACATTATCTTTTCACATTGACTGTTATGTTTGCCCTTTAAGCAAAAGAACCTTATGTAGGCAGCATCTAGTTAGTGTGCCTTCTGATTTGATGCATTCAGTTCAGTTACATAAGAGTACTAGTGTACTTAAACACTTTCTTTTTCACTCTTTTTCTGTGATGGTATATCTTGTTTTTCCCTATTGTGGATCAGCTTTGTTTTTATTTTGTTATTATAGTAGGCTTATATGAAACACCTTATAGATAAGTGTTCATTTTAGGCAAGTGTCAATAGACTTGAAGGTCTCTTGTGTTATGTCATGATATGGCCTCTTCTTTGTGTACAGGTGTACTTATGAAGAATTCGTAGTGACAATTATATTTATTTTCTTTGCCCTTCACTCTGTAGTTAACACATCACACAGGTATAGAATTTTCTTATTTTAACTCTTTACCAGCTTGAATAAATACTTCCCACAAATGAAGTGGTGTTGAACTTCAGATCTTGTTCCTCTGAGAAAGCATTCATTTCTCCTTCATATAGTAAGGATACATTTCCCAGATAAGAGTATTTTATTTTCAACACTTTCTCTGTTGAGCGAGCTGTTATTGTATTCCTGCCCCACTACCTTTAAGAATTGGTGACTGTATGTCCTGACAGTGTTTTTGCAGTGAGATAATGAATTACTAGCTTTGTAGACTTAAATGTCCAAATCTTTCCTCAGATTTGGGAAGTTCTGTTATTGTTTTTTTTTTTTTTAAATAAACTCTGTGCCTTTTTCTCTGGAATTTGTTTTTCTGCTACTGTTTGATGCATACCCATTGCTGTAGTCCTTTTTATGTTTTGTCTTCTCATGTTATAAAATCCATATAAAGTTTTTTATTCTATCTGGTGAACTCTGCTCCATATCTCTACTGCTAAATTATTGTTATTGAAATTTTCATCAACAAAATTTGGTTTTTAAATATATGCATTTTTTAATTCAATGAGTTTCTTTCTGAAAGATGTCATGCCTTTTCACTTATTTTTCAGTATTCAACCTTGTATTCTGGGTAGTGTATACTTCTCTTTTTGTAATGCTTTAAATTTTTTATATTCTTTATAGTAGATTCATACATATTTGAAGTAATGGATTACTCCTTATAACTCTTTGTTGTTGTCTCACCATATGGGTTATAATGAATTTCTTTTCTGTGTTTGTATACCTGTTTCACTCTTCTGGCTCATTCTCTAGTGTACATTTTTGAACTTCATTGTCTTCTGTAGTTCAAGTTCTCCAGACTATTGGAGACCTTTCTTGTTTTTCATCAGGTGGCAACATAGTTTAAGTTTGTGGTTTCTGAGAATGTCATGCACTGGCACTTGGGAACTAGCTGAAGGACCTGCTCTCCTACCACCCCATAATAAAGAGTTCCTTCGTGGTATGCTGAAATCTCATTTGAAAGGTTGAATTTTGCAAGTTCTCTCTCCTGCCTGAGTGCTAACTCTGGTCTATTCTCTCTCATCAGATGTTTTTTTTTTTTTTTTTTTTTTTTAAAGATTTATTTATTTATTCATACAGAACTGGGGTACAGGCCAGAGGCTCAGGGACGGTGAGAGGCTTCACCAGAGACAGAGTGGGGAGCAGAACAGGCAGATTGACGAAGTACACTGCTGAGGGGAGCAGCGGGCGGGTCAGGAGAGGTCTGGCTCGCCATGTGGTCTCCTCCGGGGCAGGCGGCAGGCGGGAATCGAACTCATGCGGAAGTGGCTTCAGATTCTCAGTGCTGTGCTTTAACCCGCTGCGCCACCAGGGAGGGCCTCATCAGATGTTTTTACAGAAGTTTCTTTGTGTCTTCCAGCTTACCTGAGAGATTCCTCCTAGGGACTTAGGTTAAGGTTCTAAGTCTTAAAACACTATAACATTCAGGAATTATTAGATTGTACTTTATGAAAAATTTACTTTGGCTGCAGGGTAGAAACTGGCAAGATCAAAACTAGAAGCATGAAATGATGTATTTATTTACATGACTCAAAAGATAACATAACCATTTAATTTCATATATAGTATTCTATTTTGACATCATTTTAGTAATTGGTCTGATACTCTTCCATTGGAAAAACTAGAAATACTGGCTTTTTAAAGTTACTGCAGTTTTACTGAAGGATGCACTTGTGAAAATGCAACACTGTATTTTCTGAGGTATCATTACATAGAATTCAAATATACTCTTTACAAATCTTCTTTCAATTAAAAATTACAGACCTACTATTAAACAACCTACTGCCCTAACAATTGCTGCAGACATGAATTTGACCTTACTTTTCTTTGTCATATACTTTGTATATAATAATGAAGGCCTGTTTTACTGAAACCATAGCTCAGTAACTGCTTCCTGGCTTTTAATCAGTGCTACAAGTTTTCACAGAATTGATGTAAAATCCATTTTAGTTTACATTGCAGTAGTATAGATGTCTCTAATTCCATATTTGCTTCATAGGGAGTGAACCCTTGAAATAATTTGTGCTAATAATAAAGACTAGTACAGATGAATGGCAGTAGTTTCTTTGTGTTTGTATGATTTTTGTTTTAGTTAAAGGAATATGTGCATCCTAAAAGTTCTCCTTTATATTACTACTGGTTATTAATCTTAATTTAAATAAATTATCATTAATTTTGTTAATAAGATTTGCTACTGATGTCATAAAACTAAGGATAAGAGTGACTGTAGGCTATATTTCTTTAAGATGTTTGAATTCTGATTGCCTGCATTCCCTCCAACTGGCAGGGTGATGTTTTACTGAACCTATATTACTCACTAAGATGTGCAAAATAGTCTTATTTACTATTGTATCAGATTTTTCTCTAATCAATTTTTTTTTCATTTTAGGTCACTTTTCACATTGAACCTTATGCCAGTCGAGATGATAAAAACATGTACAAAAATGTCAAATATATTATAAACAAGTGAGTGTCCTCTATCTTTACTGTTAGGAACATTTCTTTAAGTTCCTTACAAATCACTTATTTTCTCTGCAAAATTACAGAATAGTTTGCAACAAACTGTTACAAAACAATTTATATAATCATGTAGAGATTGGGGGTTTTATGCTGTTATTTATAAATTTAAATATAATTGATTTCATGTTTAATAATGTCAAATATGTACAGTATCTTATTTACTAATGTGTAAAATCAAAAATGCATTTTAATGATCATTTATATAACAAACTGCACTGATTGCCATAGACAAAAATTGTTGAAAAATTAAGGTAAATGAGTTTTGAATATTCATTTCACTTACATATGTTTGTATTCTAGATATGGAAGTCATCCAGCCTTTTACAGGTATAAGACTAAGACCGGCAAAGCACTTCCTGTGTTTTATGTCTATGACTCCTATATCACAAAACCTGAAATATGGGCTAATTTACTAACCCCCGTAGGGTCTCAGAGCATTCGCAATTCTCCCTATGATGGACTGTTTATTGCACTTCTGGTAGAATACAGACATAGATTTAATATTCTCCATGGTGGTTTTGATGGAATCTACACGTACTTTGCAACAAATGGTTTTACATATGGCTCATCATATGAGAATTGGAGTAGTCTCAAATCTTTTTGTGATAAATACAACTTATTATTTATTCCAAGTGTGGGTCCAGGATATATAGATACTAGCATCCGCCCATGGAATTCTCAAAACACTCGGAACCGAATCAATGGGAAGTATTATGAAAATGCTCTGAAAGCTGCACTCCAAGTTCACCCCAGTTTAATTTCCATCACCTCTTTTAATGAGTGGCATGAAGGAACTCAGATTGAGAAAGCTGTTCCAAAAAGAACCAGTAAAACTGTGTATCTGGATTACCGACCTCATAAACCAAGTCTTTATTTAGAACTCACTCGCAAGTGGGCTGAAAAATATGGTAAGGAAAGAGTAACTTATGCACTAGATTATGAAGTACCTGTTTCATAAGTTATCACCCAATTTCAATGTCTTTTATCTTTGACTAAATGTACTTCATCATTGCCTCCCTTCACAAGCTGCACTAAGAAAAGTGTACATAATAGTCCTTGTGGCATTATTTGCTAAATTTCTAACAAAATTAAAATCGTGGTTTTACAGCAATTTAAGAGGTCAGTATACATTTAAATACTTTGGGGCCCAAAGAATTAGGATTGTATATATATATATATATATATATATGTGTGTGTGTGTGTGATATCTGTTGAAGAAAAGAGAAAGCGATCTAGTATGTCTCATTTCTATTTTGTGATATCCTTCTTTTGTTATTGTTCAGACTAATGTCTTACTGTGAACTTATATTAGGAAGGTTTGCTTTCTACATAACAGTATGGTCACTTATATATAGCATGGTAGATTTTTTGCATGTTCCTTTTTTACAATGTCGAGCCTTAGATTTTAGAGCCTATAGAAAGTTCCTTCATAAAATATTACATCTTATAATTCATTTAAAAATTATTATAAAGCTATAATTTTTAAAGAGCCTTGTCTCTATTTCTAAAGTTTACTATATATATAGTGCCCCCATCAGATTAAATTGAATCAAAATGCACTTTATCACTATAGTAAATATCTAATATATGCTATTAAATTAATATCTAGGTACTTATTAAAGAGAAGCAATAGGGTAATTTTACTCTGGTACTTTGTACCAGAGTATGAAAATGTTGAAAGCCATCAGGTGACATTTTGTGATTTGAAGTAAATGTTTTTGAAAAGAGGTATCACTAATGTCAAAAGAGCATATTTCCTGGTGAATGGCCAGAACACAGGAAAATAGTATAATAGCAATGTAGGAAGTAAAGGAAATTCCTGAAATGAATCGCTATCATATAAGCAAAATTCTTTATGAACTTTTTTTTTTAATTTGGCTCATTATGTTTTCTTAATTTTTGCTAATATAACACACTATTATTAAAGTTTAGAGAAAAATTTGTTAGGAGTATACAAAACAAAATCAAATCTTTAACATGGGAGTACCACCACTATCTAACCTAGTGCACACATCAATAATTTATTCCAGCACACTTTACCTCTGACATTTGCTATGGATCCCAACACCCTACTCAAACCACTAACAGTAAGTCAGAGTAGGTAAAACAGTAATTTTCTGCAATAAAGACAATCTAATTGCGTAATAGTTTTAGTATAAGCAGTTAGGGGAAATTCTCCAATTTTAGAGAGGAATGCTTTCAAACAACCTTCAGGTATTTGTTACAGCTGCCTTTAACCTTTTGACTTTAATACAGTTTAGTTCATTGTGAATAAGAGTGAACTAAGTTTTCTAAGCTATAGATTTGTATTTAATAAACTAAAAAAATTAAAACATTGTAATATACGCAGTGCATGAAACATGATTCTTTCATAGTTTAGTCGTTTTGAGTTGTCATTTTGACTATGTAAAATCTTTTCTGCTACTCCCTTTAAGGATTAACATTGTCAAAAACTGCTGTTATTTATGTTGTCTGTAATTAAAAGATGACTATTTTGTTACATGGAGTAAACTTTTCATCTAATAAAAGCTTATATGAAATATAAGAAAACTTAATGATTTACTTTATCCAGCCCGAACTCTTTATTTATCCAGCCCGAACTCTTTATTTATAAGATGTCATTATAGTGATCTTCCCCTAAAATATCAAAAGTAACCAGCCACCAAAAGACCTACAAGTTTAATAATACCATACATTTTTTCAGATTGAATATAATGGCTACCTAAAACATCCTTAAAAGAACTTGATCTAATTATGAGAAAAGTTTTTGGCCCAGATATTCCTTTTTCTAGAACTGTATTGTTGTAAGATTATGATTCTAGAGGATGCAGGTACTGCTGTGACTTACTTCTTTTACAGGGATTCGTTTGACTATTAGTAGGTATGTACCACTAAAGAGAAAAACCTGTTTCAATGTGATTATCTTACATAATTGTTAATTGTGCACTTTGCTAAAATCTTGGCACTTTTGTAAACTTCATATGAGCTTTTTAGAAGCTACCCTAATATTTCATAGCACCGAACAGTGATATATTATGGCAAGAAAATACTACATACAGTTCAAATTATAAAATGCTTGGAACAATCTAATCTTATTGCACATAAAGTCAATTACAAGTCTGATTGCTAGATTCTTAATTGAAAATACTTTGTTGCAATCATTAAGAACAATAGCTGAGTGAGTATTGTTTGTGCTAAAGACATTTTAAGAGAATATTGTATTTGGAAATTAATTATTTTGTCACTCAGGGTAAACATTACCTAAATTCTAATATTATAAGTCATGTGTAATGGAATTTTTTAAAAATGTATACATACAGTACTAGCATATGATTGACATTTGTTATTGAACTTTTTGCTAGAAAAGCATCTCCTTTCAACAGATTTTGCCATACAGATAAATTTTAAAAAGGGCATTATACCTATGGGTGAAAAGTGTAAAAAACTACAAAAACTATCAGGTAATGTAACAAAAATTCATCAAAAATAAGACCTGTATTTCTATAATAAACTTTCAGGGAAAATAAATTTCTAGAAAATCATAGAAACATTAATATTCATTACCCACTCTGGGTTATGTTAATCTTTGCCTTTCAGCTGACATTGTGGTTTTTAAATATTGACTTTTTTTTTCCCAAACCCAAATTAGGAACAACCCAAATATATTTTAGTGGGTGAATGGGTAAAATGATATACATAGTACACTCTGGAGGAATGATGTTCAGTTGTATAACCCAGTAAAACACTGATACATGCAACCACTAAAATGACTCAAGTGTATTATGCAAAGTGAAAGAAGTGAGCCCCTCTCTGGACTACATAAGTGACTATAAATGAGTCAGTTATATGACATTCTAGAAAAGGCAGTTCTGCAGACTATAAATTGTCATCAAAGTTTTAAGAGTTGGAATAGAGTTGAAAAGCAGCAGTATGAGGTATTTTAATGTCAGGGAACAATTACCTGACTATATATTTGCCAAAATTTATAAAGCTCTATAATTCCCCCAACATCCTTATGTACAGTGTCAATCTTCTGTATATGAATACTTTCATAAACTTAAACTGTATTTCACATTGATAATAAAGATGGTTAGCACTGTTAAAGATCCTTTCTGAGGATATCTTTGCCATATGACTACTTCTGTTTGTAGAATTTCTCATTTTCTTTTGTTATCTCAAGTCATGACATTGTTAGTCATGCCACACAACCAGACAGGGTCATCTTTGCCTTACCACACTCTCATTCTAAATCCCATCAACTTTTTTTATGTACTCCTTCTCCCCCCAACCCCCAAGGTAGACCCTAAATAGTGGATCTAGTCTCCATCTGTGTTATATATCCAGGAAATCAATTTACACTTAGCCTAGTATACCTTACAACAGCTTCATGCCTACAGTATTGCCTGGTTCAAAAAATTTCTAAATTAAGTCTAGGTCATTGTCTTCTAATCCTTTAAGTGACTACCAGCTGCCTCTGGAATAAAGTTCAAGCTTCTTCACAAGGTCTGTAAAAATACTAAACTGTTGGATGTCCTCAATAGCAGTCTCATCTCCTAGTTATTTTCTCAGAATTTCTGCTATTTTACTGCAAATGCAGGATCACAAACAACATTGTATAACCCATGGAAATATTTTTGGTGATATATTCTTTGTTCTTCAGTTTATTATTACTGGAAAGAGATTGAATATGGTATTAAAAGCAAAGGAAGAAAGGCAGTATCTCTGACAAGTATCTATACAGTATCAAATACTGTGAAGTGTTGTAAATGTTATTTCATGCAACTTTTAAACAACATTCTAAGGTAAGTTTAATTTACAGTTAAGTAAACTGGACCTACAGAAATTGCCAATGCCCCACAGCTTAGTAGAGATGGACAGTTTTCTCAGATCCATCTACTATAGGGTGAAATTATCTAGAAGTATTTTTTCAGCCCATTTCCCTACACTCACACAGGTTAGGCACTCAAAGTTTATGTACCACTATTCTAACATTTACTACTTTTTGTTGCGATAAGTATTATAAGTAGCTTTCTCTCTGATATAAGCAATTGAGGAAAGGGATAGCTTTGATTTCACATATTTTAAGAATATAATACACAGTTTTTCAAAAAATGGCCATGAACAAAATTTAGTGAAATGTAGCATTCCCTATATAGCTTTGAATCCACAATAATAATGTCTTTTCCACCTTAATATTCCTTTCTTCAGGAACTGTAAGGTACAGTTTAAAACAACATATTACATAGATTACTGTGCATGAGCATTTTTTATTCTATCCCTGTAGCGCTCCATGTAGGAACACTATACATGTGTGCCATAATTTACTAGTTGTAGCCAAATAATAGTAAATTTAATTTTTTTCTTAAAATACTAAAAATTAATATAAGAAATAACTAATCAATCTTTTACACTAGGTCAAATTCATGGAGGTACTTTCTGTAAATAAACAATACCATAAAACTACATTGCGTACATGAAAGAAGGCTGTTACTGATTTAGTGTATCTAAGTGGTAGAAATTCAGTAAGCAGCCTATTAGAATTTTAACCAGCCTTTTTACAGTTTAATGTTTGAGTATCATCATGGCTTCTTTTGACTAATACCTGTTCTCTTTCCCCTAAATGTTTCTACTAGATTGAACATCTAGTAAAATAGCACATGTACCAGAAATCTTTAATCACGATAGAAAACCATGTGGTATTATTAACCTCATTTCTTCATTAGTGATAGTCCTTTTAAATCAAGAAATATCAGGTATAGAATAAATTTTTTCCTACTTATGAAAAGTTTACACATATTATTCATAATATTTGGTGATTGATGGTAAAACATCCTGGGTTTGAAAGGCAGTTATCCTAGAAATCATATGCTGGACAAATCATACAGGTCTTGAGTTGTTTGTAATGAAAAGGTACACACATTTCTTAAGATATATTTCATCCTTTTCCCAACTTCCTCAAGCCTCTATTGCCATCTCTTCTATCCAAACAATTTGCTATCTTCCTACTTAACTAAAAATGTAGAAGCAATTGAAAATCACTTCCAATGTGTCATTTCCTTTCAGTATGGGCAGGATTTAGAGTTTGCGTCTAACAGAATACCCTTGCCAGTTGACTTCCAAGTTAATCAAACGGTTGATAATCTTTGGTATGCTGGTCTCACCAGAGGAGTCCTTTAGAAGAGGTCCACAGGTTAGATCAAAGACACAAGAAACAGTACATCATAAGTCTACAGTTTTAAAGAAATTAATTTCTTCAACAGTCAAGTGAGATGGTAAGACTACTAAACTCTACATGAGTCTCCAACACCAGTTGAGATGTTAGTATCATCCTTTATGACAGAGCAGAATATATGATTAAACCATGCCAAGTATCCTGGTTCATGAGAAATAAGATACATATTAACTATTCGTGGTAAATTTTTGTGATAGAATGCTAACATTCAATTAACAGAAAATGTGCATGAACTTCCACCATATAGGTCATGTGCTAATAATATGTCAGTTCTTCTAAATATCTATAAACTGCCTATTTAAAACCCAGAGTCTCTCCCTAAATTATTAATTCTATTTCCCTTTGTCTATTGAAAAGCATTACTCTGCTAATGGTCCACTCTCATGGCACTAAATTTCCCTTTCTAGTTAATTATACCCATCTACAAATAGATCTCTTTTCTCCTGACTATAACAGTCAAGTTCCTTTGGTATTCTCTCCATGAAACAATAACACTTGTGCAGTCGTAAGAGGAAAGCATGAACTACATGCAAATTGAGGGGCATTCTGTGAATGCCCAAACAGTACTCAAAAAACAAAAAAAAAAAACTGTCAAGTCATGAAACACAAACTATGATAGACTAAAGATGGACAGATGACAACTAAATCCAAGTGGTATCTGGAAGTGGTATCTGGAACTTGATCTGGGAACAACAACAAAAGAGACTAATCTTATTTCCATGTAGCTAATATAGCATGCTTGCTTGTAGATGAAAAATAAATTTCTGCTTGTCCTACTGTCACTTAACTTCGCTTTAAAACATCCTTCCTTACTCTCTGTGATCCTGGTGAGACTATTGATCTCTGTAGGTGGGTTGCACATGGTATAGAATCATATTCATGAGTTTTCAAAATACTCATTTTTTGAAACCCCAAATTCTAACCAATCTAGGTCTGATTTTTTTTTAACTATTTCATTAGCCCATGAACCTTTTTTCCAATTAATTCATTTCAGATATATGCTTGCAACTGGAAGTCCTAATTAATAACAATTGTGAATAGTGCTATATCTCAAAGTAGAAGTACATGGAGAAGGCTTACAAAGGGAGTCCATCTTCTCTGAATGTTGACGGAAATATTGACAGGAGTCACTTTCAAGATTCAAGGTCTAAGAATCCAATACATAACTACTGAATGTACTGTGTCAAGCATTAAGTACATTTTAGACATTGTAGGTTGTATTATTTTCCTCTTTCCCTAGTTGAGACAGAAGTCAATAGCTTGCCTAAGTTTGCATGTAATTGTATTCTCATCAGATGAATCCCAC